TCATCATCATCAATGAAGAGCCAATGTTGATATCCTATCTAGCGCTCGGCGCCCAGACTACAGATGGGAGATCCTATCTAGCCTAGACTACAATGCCGAATGTTGACGACAACAACTCTCCGAAGTACGAGCATACAACTACCAATGTCGCATGCTTCCACCACCAGGTATGTCTCTCGCCTCACTCACAACTTCGTTCCCCAACACACATATGCCACTTGCGCCCAGAACCACCCTGCACCTAATAATAATAATAATAATAATAATAATAACAATAATAACTAGGTAGCATGGGTTATCTGGCCGGATAATCTGGCCGGATAATCTGGTCGGATTATCTGACCGGATGATCGGGGGGTAGGATCATCCGGAAATCCGGATGATAAAACAAAAGGCCTAAAAAAAAAAAAAAAAAAAAAAAGTGATATTGTGCATGCAAAATACAATAGAACTACGTTCTTATTTCATGAAAAGCTTGATAGGGCCTGAAAGCTATGTTGCACACTGGCCGCGGCCGGTCCGGCCGAGTTTTTTCGGCCTCGGCCTCGGTCGATTTGGGGGGCGGTTTTCGAAGCGGGGAGCGGGTTTGAGGTGGGTTGGTGGGAGGGCACCCCCTCGCAGTGGCAGAGCGTAAAAAAAAAAAACAACGGGGAGATCCTGCACATGGCCCTGGGAGGGTGGGCCGCGAAAATTCGTGCGTCCCCCGCGTGCAAGTTTGTCGATGTGGGGTCGCAGGGAAGAGGGTCTGGAACACTAGAAAAAAACAACAACAAATTTGACCCCTGCGGGGGGCGGCCCAGCGGGGTTGGATGAGGGCCTGGTTGGGGCGGCCCATGCGGCCATGTCGGGTCGAAGCTGGACGGGGCTGCAGATGGCAGACCCCAGGCAGATCAGGGCCTCAGGAAGGCGTCGATTTCATTCGTGAGGGTGATGACAGTTCGTGACATATTTTGAAACAACACATTCATGGCAATCATAGGTCAGACGTTGGTTGGCATACCAAAGTCACAACACATTCACAATCGATCACAGTGCGGCCAACCATAAGTTTCAAACAATGTTAACAGGCAAGTGTGTCATAGACTCATAGTGTGTGTTCAGTCATCAGACTGGTGGAAGTTTGTGTAAGAACACATTCATTAGCACATCATCCCTATTTGGCATCCGAAATTAACAGCACATTCATAATGGAGGCATCCATGACATGCAGGTGCGTGGCATCGGAGAAGCACATAATTTGCAACAATCACGACAACAAACCAGAAACCACTCACCAAACAACAGGGACTCAGATGCAAGACCAATGTTGGTAGAGGAACACGAACAAGAGCAAATATATGACAAAGCATTTCAATGGAAATGCGTATGTACAAGGATGAAGCCAAAAACTAGACTCGTCGTCTCTACTGTACAACCGAGTAGCAAAAAAAAAACTAGACCCTACTGACAAAGCATTTCAACGGAAATGCGTATGTACAAGGCGGAAGCCAAAAACTGGACCCGTCGTCTCTACTGTACAACCGAGTAGCAAAAAAAAAAAAAAAAAAAAAAAACTAATGTCCACATACTGTCGTCGTCTCCATGGAACAACATCGACATAAATATGCAACAACCCTGTCGACGGAGCATCCAGGTTGTACAGCCACGCAAAAAACATAAAAAACTAATGAAAAAAAAAAAACCACGGACGTCGTCATCTCCCTCCAGAGCGCGTGCGGCCTCTCCCGGAGGACGGGCGGTCATGCGCTCCTCCCCGGCGCCCTCCTCTCCCTCCGGCACCTGTGCCCCATGCCCCGCTGAGGTATGCCGCCTGTGCTGCAGCGGCTGCCGCGGCCACCTGTGCCCTGTTTCTACGGGCCGCAGACTCGATCGGCTCGGACTCTGTGTCTGCATCCTCGTCCTCCGCCGCCCGTGCAGCAATCCCCATCTCTCCCTCCCTCTGAATCGCGTCCAATGCTGCCTGGCCAGCGGCGACCCCTGCCGCGAGTCGAGCCTCAACCTCCGAGAGGCCATGTTGTTGTCTCGTCCCTGGACGCATCAACAACCCCTCCTCGCCCGATGTGAATTGCTCTCCCCGCAGCATGTCCGTGGATGACCCTGCGGCCTCGAGGACCAATGATCTCCTCGTCTCCGCTCGTGACAAACCGAGCATGCGGCCTGCCATCTGCAGGCTCGGACGTCCGGACCCAGCCTCCGCAGCCTGCGTCTGAACTGGCGTACGTCCCGTGAAGACGCCCCTCCCGGCGTCGTAATCCGCCCGCAACCGGTCCCCAACCCGACGAACAGCTGACCATCCGCCACCCACACCACCTCGGACTGTCGGCGGGGAACCACCACTGTGCGCAACTCCGGGTGCCGCCGTCTGGTCCCCGACGTCGACCCCGGCCTCCGGAGTCCGTGCGGGCGGTGGAGGCATCGATCCTGCACTATCTCTGCCGCCGCCGCTGCGTCTGCCGGACCCCACCTCACCCGCTCCGGACTCCCTCCCTCTCACGCCGCTGAGCGACGAACCCAACCAGTGAGGGCTCTTCACCTCGAACGGCGGCGGTGAATATACCCTCTCAGGGGCCCGCGTCTTGCCGCTCTTGCAGCTCATGTGTGAGAAAGGGTCATCTGTCAATGCTTGCGCCAAAGCGTCGACGTCGAAGAAAGTGTGCGCTGTGTCGTCAGGGCGCAAGGGAGGTACTGTGGGATCCCTCAACACCAAGGTGAGCCTATACGCATCGTCCTCGGGACCGTGGTCGTCGTCATCATCTCCGTCTGGTCCATCGTCTCCCCTGACACCCGCAGTATCCCCATATCCACCGGGTCCACCCTCTCCACTGCCACACACGGCAGCACCCCGTCCCTCATCACCCGCGGTCCCGCTGTCGCCACGCCCCCCACTAGGGGATCCACCGCCCACGACAACATCCTGCCCCTCAATGCCCTCATCACCCGCGGTCTCCCCGTCGCCGCGTCGTCCACCACCTAACCCACCACCCGCGGCGGCATCCTGTCCCTCATCATCGAACTCCCCCTGAACTGCCTCCTCAGGGACACCCGAGTCGTCGACATCACGGCCTCCCCCCCCTCCTGTCTCCAACTCCCTCTGCCGACGCAGCTCGTCAAGATATGAGAACCGACCCTCCCATCGTGGCAAACTCCCCAGCCGCTCCTCCTCCTCTCGGTCCAAACGGGCATCCCTCTCCTCCTCAGTCTCAAGAGGGCCCCGCACAACGTCCGCGTCGGTGCGCACCTCCGCCGGTGAGGTACGTCGACGTCCCTCGACACTGAAATCTCCCAAGCTCCCACCAAGCCCTACGACGTCAAAGTCGTGTGTGCGGAGCACCGACGGCGAGCGGGGGCGGATACCGGCGTCGGAACGAGTCCTCTATCCCCCACGATCCTCGCCATCATGTGTCCGGTCGCTGGCTGCTGCCGACGCCAACCTCTCCGAACGCCTAAGTGCCTTAGGATGTGCAGAGATCGGATGATGGGAGGGAGAGAAGCGACGATCGCGAAGGGGCACCTCCTCATCCTCAGCCTCCCCCTCGGCCTCGCTGTCGCTCCTAACCTCCCAACGTCTGCTTGTCTGCCGAAGACCTCCCCGTGGCTGCTGCTCCCCCGAGTCGTCGACGCCAACCTCCGCACGCGAACATCCTCCACGACCACCACCGGCTCTGCTGCTGCCACTCGCCTGTGCGGTCGACGGCACATCACTAGCGATAACTAATGTGAATGAATCCATGTCGTCACGACCCCCACTGTAAGTGAAGTACACCCGCTCAACTATCGGGTCGCCACTCAGCGGTGTGTCATCATCGTCTGTCCACTCGTCGTCGATGTCGCCGTCTGCCGCAGCAGCGTCCACATCATCCCCACCCTTTGGCCACGGTCGCAGCTCCGTCGCCCTGATGCCGAACACGTCCAGAACCGAATGGGCTCTGGACGGTCAGCTATCATGGAAAGCGACAATCTGCCGCTGGATCTCCTGCTCGGGAACACTGCCATCAGGTCGTGCTCCCCACACCTCGGGCTCCACATCTCCCTCCTCCTCCTCATCCTCTGTCGTTCCCCCCCGACCGGTCCCCATAACCCATGGCAACACGTACCCCCCACCCTGTCGTGCGCACGAGGCCAGTTTGAGATTGGTGGCAATCTCAACTAGCTGTGCAAGCTTGGCAAACCCAAGCTTGCAATGCCTCGCCGTGTTGATGCGCTCGTGCTGCGCCCAGTTCCTCTCCGCTGGAGAGGCAGACGTCCACAAATGCATGACACAGATGGCGATGGTGCGCAACTCCGGGTGGGCACGTCCATGCTCAAACCACCACGCTGCACATCGCTCGGTCTCGCTGTCCCCTCTGCAATCTGCCGCCTCGGCATCAGAGAGGGACCGATCTCCCCAATCCCCTTGCCTCGAGTGGAATGCCCTCATCTGGTCCCTCACGGTCCTGTACAGTCTGCCGACTGAATCGCCGCCGGTCTGTGTTAGGAGAAATCTGTCGCACTCCTCGACCACACGGCGGTCGTCGGCGGTCGTCTCCAACGAATGGTAATACGTGAGGGACGGTCGACGAGGGTTGAGGAGGTGGGCCGCGGCATGTGAGGGCTCTAGCATGTGGAGGTTGCGGATGGCAACCTCACGCATGCACGGCTCGATCATATCCTCCGGCACGTCGACCCTCCTCATCAACTGCAGCACATGCTGACTCCACTCGTAAACGACGGACATCATCATCCCCCCCTATCCATCCTGCGCAATAGCTGGTGGACGGGCGACATGACAAGGATGGCGTACTGGACACACCGCCAAAACTCCGCGTCCCGGATCTGCTGCTGCACCCACTGTGCCTGAGATACATGCCTACGCTCCCACGGGATGCGTGCCCAAGCATCCTCGTGCAACATGCTCTCCAACGCGTCTCGTCTACCTTTGAGACACATCAACATTAGGAAAATCGGTGCGAACCGTGTCTCAACGGGCTCGACGAGCTGAACGCGAGGGCTCACCTTCCTAAACAGGGTGTGACCAGCACCGTGCGATTTAATAAATCGCACAAGCGCTCGAGCGCAGATGATGGTGTCCTTGACCCACCCCACTCACGTCCCGATATCTGACAACATCAAGTTGCAGACATGGGTGGAGCAGGGGAGCCAAGTGATCCTCCTGATGTCGGGCTCGGGGTCAGTGGCGAATCTGCACGCTGCCGCCGTGTAGTTACTGGCGGAGTTTGTGCAGAAGCCGATCACGTCCTTTGCAGGAAAGGACAAGATGATGGCCCGCCGCCTACGGTACACGATTTCCGTTGTGTCTCGGACCGACCCGTCACGTGCGATGGTGGGGTATAGGAGGGCGCCATTGGCGCCCCCGGCGAAGAAGTTCACGAGAGGCTTGCCGCTGCGCGACTTCCTCCCGTCTGAGAGGATGGTGGCACCGCTGTGCCGGAAAGCGGCGCGCACCTCGCTCACCATCGTCGCCACCTTCGCCCTCTGCGAAGGGATACCGGCACCCACTGTAACCCTGAAGGAAGGAAACCGGAACTGGATAGAGCGAGGCACTCTCTCTGCCGCCTGCCGCACCCTCTGGAATTCCGGACCACGGAAGGCGTTGAATGGCAACCCCTTCACGTAGATCCACTGCAGCCACGCGTCTGTGAACTCGGCCAACTTCTCCTTGGCGTACATCTTCTCAATCGTCGTCTGCCGAGCCCTCTTCTCCCTGCCCGTGTCTCGCACCTCGACGTCAGCCTCCCCCACTGTCCTCTTCTCCCTCCTCGTGCGCTCCAACCCATGTCGCGGCGCCCTAGGACCAACGCCTCTTGACGTCATCACCACCTCCTCCCCTGGCAGATCAGGGTCTTCGACTGCCTCGTCTGCCTCGTTTGCCACCCTCCCCTCCCTGGCCCCACCCTCGCGGTGCTCCTCCTCATCGAGGGCGTCCTGAATGTCGTCCCTCTCTCCGTCGTCAGTCCGCTGTCGGTGGCCACCCGCGGGTGCTCTCGTGTACCGTATCCCCTCGTCCGCCATCCACCTCTGCACCCGCTGAGCAGTGGACGGCACGAATGTATAGTCCGTGCCGTTCCAGAGTTCCGCGAGAACTCTCATCCCCCCAGCCTTGCAGTACTTCGCCTGCGTGAAATGGCGCGCGGCCTTCGACGACCCCCCCTGAAACAAGTGGCCGCATAAGTTGCAGCGCAACTTTCGGTCCCCATGCATCTTCGACTGGTCCCCGACGTACTGCCCCGCTGTTACAAAGTTCCAAACGATGTTCCCCCGCCTCAACTTCGCCATCTCCCTCTCGGACAGCGGGTTGAACTGGGTACCCCCAGAGCCCCCCGCAGCGCTGGTCCCCGCACCCCCCCTCATTGCCCCCCCAACCGAATCCAACAAGTCGTAGCGATGATCGTTGATGTCGTCTGACCGTGCCGCACCGTCGACGCAGGCTCCGAAGTCCCTGCTACCGCCACTGCCGCGTCAAACCGATGTCGCCCACGCTTGTGGCTCCCGCGGACCCCGGCCGGTCGGCCTCTCCCGCAGCGCAGAGCCGAATTGGCCGGCTCGGCCTCGCCCGGCCTCGATCGGCCATGCCCGGCCTCGTTCGGTCGCGGCCAGCCTCGTTCGGCCGCGGCCGGGCACTAAAATGGCAGCGCGGTGAAAAAGGCCGCGCACGGCGATGGCGACGGCCATCGGGCGAACACTTGCCGAAGTCGCGACAAAGCACCGCCTGCTCGCACGGCGCGCGCCGCTGCCAACTGCGCAAGAAGAAGAAGAAGAAGAAGAGGAAGATCTCTCTCTCTCTCTCTCTCTCTCTCTCTCTCTCTCTCTCTCTCTCTCTCTCTCTCTCTCCTGCGGTATCTCCAGTGCAGCAGGTACATTGTAACCCAATCTTGTATCGCTCAACCTCTCTCTCTCTCTCTCTCTCTCTCTCTCTCT